ATTTATATATATATATATATACATATATATATATATATATATATATATATATACACACACACTGTATATGTATATTTCTATTTCCCTGTATGTTTTTCAATGTTTTAATGAACTCTAAAAACATTTTAAAAAACTTGCAATTCAGTGTAATATAAAATTAATCGCCAGCACTACATTTCATAGCACAGTCCAAGAGTTGCCATGATAGTGAATGAAGTTCAAGGGCATTGCTTGGCAGATCAAGACATGTATAAGAATTATCAGGCGATGGTGCAGTGGGATCAAGTTTGAGCAAGTGAGATCAAAGTTGACTCCGATTAGCTGTTATTTCTCTTGATTTACACAATAATACACATACACATATAATACCAAAGAGCCACCATAAATATTCGTATTTTGCAATTGCTGTTCGCCAAGAAATGTCGCACATACTCAGGAGCTGTCAGGTCTCATAGCACACATAGTTGGCATATCATCTACAGAGCTCTGTCATAGGCTGCTGCGAACTTGTGAATACTAAGTTTCTATTTTACACATAAATAGTTGTTACCAGAAGTAAGGGTGGAAAGATGAACATGACAATGAGTGCAGATGTGTCATCAACGGCCAGTTTACTTATGTTATTTAAAATAACACAAACAATACACATTTTAGATTATCGTTTTGTCACTAGGGTTCATAAAGGATTTATTTCCTTGTGTTCCCTATGCAATAATAGTTTATTGCCTTGACCTGAATGTAATACAGTCAGGGGCTCCAATATAGTTTTTTTTAGCTTGAAGGCGATGGGCATTTTTTTTTCCAAACTAATAGAATATTAGCAAGAAATAAAACAAAAATGACACAGACCGATTAGCCTTAACTTCATTGTGTCAAACTGTCATTCCATAAGGTGAAAGCGAAACAATACTGATTATTGCCTTTCAAATAGCTTTCAGCAGAAGTAATCCTACCATGACAGGCCAGGTCTGCTCTCAAGCCAGGCTACCAGTGTTCCTTCAATAAATCCAACATTTACTCTTCCCAAAAAAGCCCTTCACATCTGCATATGTGCAGTTCACCAAATGGTTTTTCCACTTTCCATATTAAACTGTTTAAAACACAGAAAACAGATGTTCTGATCTCTGCTAGTGGGAGACAAAAAGCAGATGTGTTACTATTACTGACCCTGCATTGTGATAAAGGCTTTGTAAATGATTTTCATATTTCAGCTGTACTATTTGAATCATTATATCCGCTATGCATGAAGCTGGGGAAAAATACAGAAGATGACTGACTATGTGTGCACTGATAATTGCTAGTGCTTCTTATCAGTTAAAGTGTTTTTCCACTTTTTCAGTCAAATTTGGGAAAACCCCTCTACATATTTGTTATGTATTCCCATTTACACAAGTTACAACTGACAAAATAGAACAGCAGAGAGGGGGATTTGCCTATCCACGCTGTTTCGCATGGATGAAGGAATCAAGCGTTTTCTTTCCACGGGGTGAACAAGGAATAACGAAAAAGTGAGCTGGTTGGAAAACTATTGGCCAAACGGTGACTGAAGCCAATAAGCTACAGTCAGTGCTCGGGTATTCCGACAGCAGCACACCTGCCAATGTCAGAGTACAATAGCCTGGTGGTGGCGATTCCCCTATCCACACTGTTTAGCATGGATGAATGAATGAAGCATTTTCTCTCCATGAGCTGAACAAGGACAACCGAAAAGTGTATGGCCAGTTTTGGTTTAACCCTTTTAAGGTCAAATACTTTCCAAAAAAATGACATTGCCTTGAACATGTTAATTTATATAACTTGTTAGTTTATATCATATACGCTATGACAGTACTATATTTACATTAGATGTTGAGAAATATCTTAGAAGCAATCTACTGTCAACACTGAAGCTGCATACAAGGAGCACAATCTAGAGAATAGCTGCAGCATTTGCCAGACAGCATAAGTAGCTTGCTGATTGGATTTACATATTGCCTTCAATTGCTTTGAATTCAGATGAATGATTTCTGTATGTTTTATGGTAATATTTTGACACACTTATTCTAGGTTTAGGGTTAAAAGCTACTACCTAATCGTTTTAGCACTTGAGGAATGGTTCCTTTGAGGTTTGGTGCTATAAAGTAATTTTAACAAAGAAAAGACTTCTTAGAGGCAAATGATCTCATGTGTGACCAGCTTCAGTCTCCAATAGCAAACACATTAGAGACTGGTCAGTGGTTGTCAGGTTTCTCCACAATTTCCCTAGCCTAAAAAACAATGACTGCTGACTGAGGTTGCCAGAATATGCTTGGTCTTGTAGTTCAAAAGCAGCTGAAGCTGTACAGTATGCCTTCATCTATTGCAGCCCTTTTTTCCAGTATGAACAGTGATACCAGTGTGATTTTCTGAATACATTATTATAATTTATTATTTTAATCTGCAGATTGACTTCACTGGAAGAAGGACTGGCCACAGTCTCAGAGGCAGTTATTAGTAAGCAAGAAGCAATGAAACAGCTTCAAAGCGATATCGCACATGAAGAAAAGCGTTATGGAGACCAGTAAGATTTACCAATATTTATTTAATTAATTTGCAGTCAATTACTATATAGTAGTCAGCTTTTCATTCCAAACAACTTTTTGTATTAGTTATTTGGAGTTTTTGAAAGGTTCCTTGTCATAGTGACTTTTGACCCTTCTTTGTTTCCTTTTTCCTATCCAACACTACTTTGAATCTATGCAAAGCTCAACATAAATTGGTTCTAGTAGAGATCATTTATAGCAGCCACAGTAACAAGTAACTTTATGAATCAAGTTGTTTCTCTGGTAACGTGATGTTCTTTTTATATGGTATAGGATTAATCTGCTAGCCAAATGTCAGTCTCTTCAGGATGCCATTGTGCAGTATCAAATGTCTGTATGCAGCAAGATGAAGCTGCAAGGCCAGCGAGACATGCTGAAGAAGAAGATGAATGAGCTTGGATCACGAGATCCTCCTCCGGCACTTCAGTTGCAGGATGATGGCCTGTCCATCTCTTCCATTGTAAGTTTCTCAACCTTTACTAGGAGAATGTTAATGTTAGTTAGATGTTATTGTTATTTACAATAGCCGTACAGCAGCCGAAGGCATATGCATCAGCTCGACTGAGCCGAAGTGGCAGCCGGAGCGGGGAGAACGACTTGCCGAATGCCGGCCGTAAGCCCCGCCAATGACAGCACGGCTGGCTCCGCCCAGTTGTAATGACAGATCATCTTCCCCAAATGACCTGAGGACGCTCATCTGTCATTAAACAATGACAACTAGGCGGAGCCAGCTAAGACATCATGGCAGGCTCTGCCCAGTTGTTATTCATTGGCCTGGACCTGCTAGAAGACTCTAGCAAGTGCCAGCCAATAGGAAACAGTTTGACAGACTAGTAAGCAGTGTGTGTCTGCACAAACACACAAGCAAAGCAAATGGCAAACGCACTCATCAATTTGTTACCAGCTCTAAGCAAGGTGCACATGGAAGGGCTTTATACAGTACAGTTTGCTGTTTCACAAACACACAGCAAGACAAGTCACTTCCCTGTTCCCGGCTCCTCTTCCTTTCTACTTCCTTTTCCCTTCCGCAAACTCATAGATGGACTGCTGCTAGAGACTGCTGAAGTTCAGGGAAGCTGAGCTGAGAGAGTTGGAGCCATCTGTTCAAAAACATGATGACTGTAAGAGCTTGGGCAAAGATTGAAAGAAATACTTTGCTGTGGAATGTTTGTTTCACTTTGAAAAAAAGTTTAAGCTTTGAATACTACTTACATTTTATACCCTATTTTGGGGACATTTAGAGCTTCTTTTTTTTTTACTATCCAATGAAAAAAGAACCCGAAAATTTTGAAAAAAAACACCCTACGTTATGTTATAAAACATTTATTACTACCAAACTTTTTGGTAAAATATAAAAAAATGGGGTCACGTTGCGTAAATACACACCAAACATGTTCAAGCTTTACAATTGTTTTCGCCCGCAAAATCGCAAAAAATAGGCGACGCTTTAAAGGCTTTTACCGCTCATCGATTTAGTGTTATCAGTAATTAGTGGCCCTAAAATTATTGCTCACACTCTGATGTTCGCGGCGATATGTAATGTGTGACATAATCGTTTTCGCACATAAGCCCGCCCGTTGGATATTTATGTTTATAAGTGCGTGCACGCCGGGGTGGGGGACTTCAAACTTTTTTGGGTGTTTTACATTTTTTTTAATATAAGACTTATATAAGACTTATATAAGACCAATATAAGACTTTCATTTTTTCTTTTAACTTTTTTTTTTTCCCCCCATAGTTCTCCACAAACTAGCGTCCTCCCATTACCCTAAGCTCAGTATACCGCGAGCTGTATACGTCGAGATCCGCCCAGCTGCGTGAGTGACAGCTGGCTCTGCCTATCTAGAGGCAGAGCCAGCTGTACCCGCCCCCTCCACCGTCCGTTCCGCCAGTCAGCGCTGGCAGAGCGGAGCGGGGAGAGGAGAATCCAGCCCCTCCCCCTGTCACGGCAGAGAGCCGTGACAGGATCGAGAGGTGAGCGAACGCCGGTATGTGTTCGCTCACCTCCCGATCTACTGAGCCGACCTGTGACAGTCTCATTGTCACAGGTCGGCTAGAACTATGAGGTGAGTGAAAAGCACTCACCTCATAGTTCTTCTTTAACGTTGTAACAGCTGCACAGGCCATTCTGGTCACAAGAAACCACTGCTTTTGTGTGCCTGCTGTGCACAGTTACATTTATTTTTTAAGTGTGATGGGCCAATGGGGTAGGAAGGCGAGGGAGTCCTTAAAGATCATTCTTCCAATTTGGCATTTTATGTACATTTCTAGTCATTTAAAGCGGAACTCCAGAATGATCTTTAATAGAATGCTATATTGGTCCAGCTTGACTCAAGTAAGTACCCAAATCACCTTTCATTTTCAAAGCTTAACTGAACAGACTGAAAAGAGAAGCTGATAGGTTGCCATTGGCAACTGCTCCAGATTTTGTCTGCTCCAGTTTTGATAAATTCCCCCCAACGTGTTCTCTGAATGGTGGCAGTACTGACGAATGACTCCCTGTGCTCCGTGTGCTGAGGGGAAGCCGCTGCCAGAATAGATCAGCTGACACTGTATGTAGCGTTGACTGATTTTCCGCATATGCATATTTACATTGATCAAAGCTGGACCAATGTAATGTTTTATGACAAATCCAGTCATTTCACAGGGCCTGTTTTAGACTCAGAAATGGATTTAACAACTTTCATATTCATTTCACTAATCAAGTAATTTATTTACCATTGAATAATGTAACCTGTATGGTGCACAGACAACCCCTTTAAGATGGTTCATCTGTGGTCATTCTACAGTATATGCCCTTGCAAGCTATGGTACTCACTTATCCCAACTAGACTTCTTGTATGTCCAGCTTTTTTTCTATGTATTTAGCTCAAGGAGTAGTAGCAATCATTTCAAAAATATTAATTCACTTCACTTCCTGCTTTGAAAGGGCAAAATAACTTCAGTTTGCCAAAGCAGTGCACACTGGGATTGGCCTGTCATCAGCAGAGCATTGCTGGGAAATCTCATCTGTAATCTCATGAGATCCCAGGGAAAGGCATTTTCCTCCCCTGAGATTATGTGCATGGTCACATGTCCTAGTCACATGTCCTAGTCACATGTCCTAGTCACATGTCTAGTCACATGTGCCAGAAATCCAGAAAGTAAAAGGAGAGCTAGTAATCTGTACTTAGAAAACATGGCCACTGTCAGAAGACGGGGAAAGAAAAGAGAAATAAGGAATGCAAAGAATACAAAGCCTGTAATTATCTAAAAGTATGTGTTTGTAGTGTTCGTAGATTGTCATTACTAAACATTTTTAAAGGTGCGTTTGTTGTTATTTAAAGATAAGGGTAAAGGTCCGCTTTAAAGCCCGATGGTAGTTTAAATGAAGTCTGCCCATCCCCAGCAGAGAAGGCTATTCCCAGCATTAGTATGCTGCTAAAGACTGCTGTATTCTATGTGATATCTTTGGTCTCCCTACAGTGGTCTTTCAAGAGGAGATGAGAGTGAGGAGATGGACCCACTTTTCTAGGTGGTTGATGGAGTGTCTATGTTGAAACAGGATTTTCTAACTCAGTTAGTTGGTGTTATCAAAAGACTGCTTTGCAGCCTGACAGCTCTGATACACCCGCAACTTAAAGGCGAACTATGGGGTTAGGGCTTTTCCCCATAGTTCTCCTAAGAGTAACGGGAGGACACAAACTAGCGTCCTCCCGTCACCCTAAGCTCAGTATACCGCGAGCTACAGCTCGCGGTATACTGAGACGCCGCAGCTGAAACAGATCACGACAATTATGTCTGGATCCGCCAAGCTGCGTGAGTGACAGCTGGCTCTGCCTATCTAGATACTGAGACGCCGCAGCTGAAACGGATCCCGACAATTATGTCTGGATCCGCCAAGCTGCGTGAGTGACAGCTGGCTCTGCCTATCTAGATACTGAGACGCCGCAGCTGAAACGGATCCCGACAATTATGTCTGGATCCGCCAAGCTGCGTGAGTGACAGCTGGCTCTGCCTATCTAGATGTACACAAGTCCTCCAGGATCCCTGGTGTCCCCCAAGAATCAAGTCATGCAAATTATCTCAATGTTCAATTCTCAATTCCCCGCCTACTCAGACACACAAGTGAGGATGTCTTGCTATTCACTAGCTAGTACCGCAGAAAATTCATCCAACCAGGGTCCCCAGACTTTATAGAACTTTTGAGGGCAAGCTCTATGGATATACGTAGCTTTATACATTGGGATAACAGACTCCACTAATCCCCTCCAATTATCCAAGGTAGGCGGAGCCGGCTTTTTCCTGTGTAACACTATAAATTTCCTAGCATAGAACAGTAAAATCCCCAACAGCGTACTAGTGGCATGAGTAGTCGTAATACGTTCCGTGAGACCCAGTAAGCAGAGTCCCATCTCCGGCTGTATGTCCTGCATCAGGAACCCGGATATGAAGTGCATGATCTCTACCCAGAAGTTCTTAATACCCGGGCAGTCCCAAAACACATGACTAAATCCCACAGGAGAGAAGGTACACCTCCAACACGTTGCTGAGCTTGTGCTATATATCCGGGCCAGTGTAGTACACCCTGTGCAATAGTTTATACTGTATTAGTCTATCTCTAGCCGAAATCAAATGTGTGAAAGGATAATCCCAGGCCTCCCTCCATTCCTCCTCATCTAAGTCCTGCACCTTTCTATGCCACTGTGCCCCACAGCTATTCAGGGGGCTGAACCTGGCAGGTAATAGAGTACTGCAGACCGTTGATAAGAGCTTACGAAGCCCCTGGGTTCTCAGCATGCACTCCAATGAGGAGGCACCAAAGCTCCCCGATGTGGGTGCAAACTGAGCTTGGAAGACATGGGAGAGTTGCATATACTGTATCTGAAAAGAAAGGATCCCAGTAGTTTAAATTTAATACGCAAGTCTGCGAAAATCACAAGACGCCCATCGCAATTGGGCTTTTTAAGTAGTAAGGCCTGATGCCTGCATCTTTAAAGACAAGTAATCAATGGCAACTCTGTATTCATATGTTGACAGGTTCTTTATGGTGCCCATTTACAGTGCCTGAAAATGCAGCATGCAGAACTTTTTTCTGTTGCATTGTGGGAATGAGTCCTTTAAAAAAGAATGGATTTTTATGTGTCCTCTCATTTTGCTTGTGATGCAAAACACTCTAAATAATACATGGGATGTGGAGGTATAAACCAGACCTTAGTGCTCAGCTAGCCTGCTGACAAATGTTTTTCTTTTTTTTTTCTTTTTTACAGGAAAAGGAAAGTGGAAGAAATCAAACCCTTGAAATTATAAAAAATCACATATCTGGGATTTTTCGGCCAAAAATTTCCGTGAGTGTTTGTTTACATTAAAAATAATAATTGAACTAATTCTGAATATAAACTGTTCTGATATCACTGTTACCAAAGCCACTTGGCGGACATCAACAATGGCTGAGCAGAGGCTGTTTGAAACCCTTTTTTGGAGAGTAAAGTATGTATACAGCACTGGTGGTCTCTGTTCATAGATCTGTAGGAAACTTGACTTGGCTACTGAGATTATTTATTTAAGAATGCAAAAAGGAATTATGTGCATTTGCCCATAAGAAACAAAAACACTCTTCTGGGAAAGCTTTCTACAAGATTTTGGAGTGTGTCTGTGTGATTTTGTGCCCACTCAGCCACAAGAGCGTTTGTAAGGGTTAGGTGCTATATAAATAACAATAATAAATACATTAAAAAAAATAAACCTTAACTACTGTATATTGGCCTGGCTATGTGCACAGTGGTACAGTCATGCTGGAACAATGGTTGGCCAACAGACTTGGAAGTGCTCAATACATATGAGATCACTGCCTGATATACTAAATCAAATGCAAGAAAACCATGCATATCATTAGCGACAACACTTTGTTGACAAATACACTCCAACAAATCTAATCTCCTTATATTAATATTCATATTCAAATTGCAACCCTTAGAACCTGTGCCTGTTTCTCTTATAACAGATCAAGAGCTTTTACTAGAATATGGTTTGCAGTTTTGTGCTTTCCATGCGGTTCTATTTGTATCTCTATGGGCAGGACATTAAATACATTTCTTGAGTTAATAACAACTCCTGGAGACATCTGTGCCCCTGTGGCTGGCTGTGAAGTGTAATTGGCTAAGCATCTTGTGCTGTCTTTAATGTCCACCCGACTTTGGAGATGGGGGCCGGGGCACATACATATAAAACCTTTACCACTTATGGAAAGGTGATTTCCACATATGTAGAGGACATTGTGCCCATTGTATAATTAAATTAAATAATACTGTTGTTAGTGTTGCCTGATAAATCTAATTAGTGTTCTGTGGGTTGTATCTTTCTAAAGTAACCACATTAACTAATCATGTGTGTGTATTGCCCAACCAGTGGCAGAAGGCTAAAGTGCCAAGGTTACAAGAAATCCTCTACGTTTCTGCTTAGAGCCCATTCACACCACAAAGCAATGTTCTTCAATGCACACATTTTCATGCATTGTGGTGCATTGACAGGCAGCTTATTCTTATTGAAAGGGCTGTCAACACACCTCAATGCATGAAATCATAGGTCCTGCATTTCTAAAACTGCAGCTAAATGCACAGAGCAATTGTATTTTTTTTAACAACCAATCATATCTTTTTTTAATGCAAAATGTAAACATTTTAAAAGCTTTTTTTTAAATATTGTCTTCATTTTTCCCCTGCCATTATCAGAATTGTAAACTGTATTTTATTTTATATTATTGTGCTCAGCTTAGTAGGTAATGCAGGATACCCATGCTTTCCATAGGTCCTGTAAACTTGGGTAGCTGTATGAATAAAAGGTCAGGAATCACCCAACAGAAACGCTCTCCTAACTAAATTTAAACAGTAATGCCACTTTTCCAGAGAAAAAAATCAATCTTCTCCGGGTGATCAATGTAAACTGCAAGGATTTTAACAAACTTGGTTGCAGTTTCTTACCTTTCTCTGTCCTTAAGAAATAGCTGTTTGTTGCAGCATGTCCTCTGCAAAATGATTCTAGAATGGGAGGGCCTGAGTTCATTACGGTGCTAGTGCACCTTTTGTGTTGTAATGAGGAAAGTTGCAGTGTCTGTATCCCTTTAGTAGTAATTAACCCTTAGGGATTGTCTCACCGGAAATGAAATTCCTATTGCAAGGGATGCCTAAACATTTACTGTATCTTAGTGCAGATCTCTGTCAATATCAATCACCCAATCACACAAGCAGAAAATTACATTTCGGGGGGCATTCTGTACACCAACTTTGTACAGAATGCCTCCAGGTCACCATATTGCATTGAATTTTTTTGACAGTTGTAGAAAATTACGGAGATTGCAGTTTTAAATGGATAGATGATGTTAATAACAGTAAATTACAAAATGGCTTGTTTAGCAATTATATAAGCCATATTCTTTATATCATATTCATAATCAAATGCAAGAAAATTATGCATATCACTAGCAACAACACTTTGTTAATGAATATGCTCCAACAAATCCAATCTCCTTCTATTAATATTGTTATTCAAAATGCAAGCCATAGCCGATAACATCTGTAGAACCTGTGGGTATTTCTCTCAGAAAGAGATCAAGAGCTTTTACTAGAATATGGTTAGCGGTTTTGTTTTTTCCATGCGGTTCCATTTATCTGTCTGTGGGCAGTGCATTTACTACATTTCTTGTGAGTTAATAACAACTTCTCAAGACATCTGTGCCCCTGCGACTGGCTGTGAAATATGCTGTCCTTAAAGGAGAACTAAGGGTTTAAGGCTTTTCCCCATAGTTCTCCTTAGGGTAACGGGAGGACACAAACTAGCGTCCTCCCGTCACCCTAGACTCAGTATACCGCGAGCTGTAGCTTGCGGTATAATGAGACGCCGCAGTATACCGCGAGATGCTGCTCGTGGTATACTGAGGCGCCGTAGCTGAAGCGGATCCCAACAATTATGTCTGGATCCGCCCAGCTGCGTGACCGTCCGTTCCGCCAGTCAGCGCTGGCAGTTTGGAGCGGGGAGGGGGGAATCCAGCCCCTCCCCTGTCACGGCAGAGAGCCGTGACAGGATCGTGAGGTGAGCGCCGGTATGTGTTCGCTCACCTCCCGATCTACTGAGCCGACCTGTGACAGTCTCGTTGTCACAGGTTGGCTAGAACTATGAGGTAAGTGAAAAGCACTCACCTCATAGTTCTCCTTTAAAGTGGGCTTTAATGGTCGAAATGAGGATATCCCAGCTTCTCCTGCAGGTAATACTTGCTGGCAAGTGAGATGGAGCCTTTGTAGAAGTTTAAGCAGTGCTTCAGTAGCGACAAAGTTGGATTGTTTTCCCAATGCTATTATATTACTGTATTATATTCATCTCACATTACGATAATGACCATTGCCTATTGCCCACACCACCCCATAAAATGGTCCTGTCACCTACAAACCTCACTTCATAGCCCTGGAAGCTGTATAGCAATGCGGGGCAGGTACTGGTCAGTGTAGCCACATGTAAAAAAGAATCTAGCTCCCCTAAGTTTTGAAAATTCTTTCCTCAATATGTGAAAAGGAGTGACTATCCACAAAAACAGCTTTATTTGGTTTACCAAGGTCAACACCCAATCTAATACCTACTGATTTCTCCTAATGTCCTCCTGTGACCCAAAGTCAGCATCTAGTCGCCTACTGCCCGTTATTTGCTGGCAGCGCAGAGCTGGCTTATATGGCTATTTATTCATTTTGTTATAGAAGCCAGACTTATAATGTAGTTTAAAAAGGCTTATTAATAAAACTTTTATAAGCTGATCTTTTGTTGAAAATTCATAATACAGTGATTGAAAGCACATGTATTGACCTGTAATTTAGTTTACAATATGAAACTGAATAGGTCATCCTCCTCACTCATTGCCCATGCAAATCTCAATTCCATGCTGCTGAAGCTCAGTGTGGTAAGTGAACCTAGTGCCTGCAGCCCAATTTCCCTTTCTCCACTCTTTCTTACCAGATTCTCTACTCCACTAAACATTGGGACCTAGATCTGTCCCCTAAGGGGGCAATTTCCTGTCCTCCACAGCACACAGGTTGAGAGTGATGTTGCCAGGTAAAGAGGAGGTACCTTTGAGCACTAGCCAAAATGGGGGTAGAGTACAGCACATGTGTGGGCCTAGACGGGAAGATCTCGACAGGCAGGTGAAGTCATCAATAAGCTGCACTGACAGTGGACAAGGACAGGGGAGTACAAGACTGGTATATGCAGTTACATTTTAAAGCAACATAGTACATTTAAAATCAACACTTGCAAAACCTCAATAATGCAAGGCATGTTAATACATACATTTATGGTTGGAACCCAGCTTTACAGACGTATTCTGTGCAAATTTACTGTGTTGATAGCTGAAGGGGCGGGCTTCCGATGACCGCAATGGCGAACGGGCAGTGTGCGCTTGCGCACACTGGCCCGTCCGGCTTTTATCTTACGAACATGCTACACACCCGCCGAACATCGTGCGATGCTTGGCGGGTTTTCGAACATGTTCGTAAGTTAAAAGTCGTGCGACCTTACAGTAGTAAAGGTCGCACGGCTTCCACACACCTTACGATAATCGTACGATCACGGGATTTCCCGCGATTATCGTAAGGTGTGTGGGCACCCTTAGTTCACAAACATGTATTCTTAACTGAATCAAATCTTCTGAGAAAATTGCTGTTAAAGTGGATGGGTGTGTTTGTTAGGGATGCTACAGCTGCCCCTAACTAAGTTAGAAAGTAATTTATCTTGGGACTGAATAAAATATAGAAATGATTGTAAATAGAATGCCTAAAATGGGGGATGTTACAACAAATGATGGTGCCCATCACAAAAACATTAAGGAGCCCCTGGATCCCCAAACTCCACCTTATCCCTTTCGCTGCCACCGACGTAAGGCTTACACCAGTGGCTGAGTGGCAAACTTCTGTTCACCGATCTCCTCCCCGTTCTATGGGACCAGGAGTGACGCATATTGCATCACTTCTGGTCACTGAGCTGTCATTGCTCGGCTACTGAAGCAATCTGCACTTCAATAGCTTGTTTAGAGTGGAGAGGTGACACTAGGGGTCTTTTGGACCCCCAGTATCACCTCAAAGAAGACCTTTCACTGCCAATATGCTATCACATGGGGGACTTGAAAACCACCCTATGACCTGTCACTGCCAATATGCTATCACATGGGGGACTTGAAACCCCCCCTATGTGAAAGCAATTAAAATTAACAAAAAGTTTTAAAAAATAATATAAGATAAAATAAATGTAAATATAAATAAAACATTTTTTTTAAAGTCCCCTGTGAACGCACATGCATTCATTCAAACAC